ACTGTGTTATATATGTTTTTAAAAAAAATTATGGAGCAACCCTCGTACCAGTATAAATACATCTCTAGAATTCCCTTCCATAAACGACAATTTATAATTTGTTTATGTTGTTGGTCTGGATCATTTTCCGAAGATTCACCCCTTGCAATAATTTCATAATAACCTACTCAACGACAAAAGCCAATTGGTGATAAAACAATGAAGCATGTAGCAATAAAAATATGTAGAAAGCGACAGGGATCACTTTTTTAATCTCAAAATGATTTACATTGGCGATTATTATTTTCTCGCCATGTATTTGGGCGCATTCAATAAAAAGAGTCAATCGAATCACTATTTTGCTTAATTTGATAAACTGAATAATTTGTTCGTTTATTTTTTTCGCATAGACGAACGTGATGTCGAACATATATAAGTTGTAAACGGACGAAATCCAGGCGAAATTTATTGTTTTTTTCGGGTAAAATCCGTGTTTTTTCGTCATCCGGGTATTCGAGCGGGTTACAGCTTGACACCCTATTAATAACAACATAATGCAATCTTTGCAAATATGTTATTAACATATTTTCAAACATAAATATATTGACGCAAACCCGGATAAATCATAAATCCGGGCGATCTGGCATCCTTTGCTACATTTGATTATTATTATTATGATTATTATTATTATATTGCATACCGACAGCATATCAGAAGAGAATACAAGTCTGTAGAAAATTAGCATCATCGTAAAACGTTTTTTTTTTTTGCATTAGTGTTCGGAAACTTATGGCATGTACTGTAATTGTATCTCAAATGCGTATAATTTTCAAAAAATGACAAAAGAAACGATTTTGGAAATAATCAAAGGCACGAAGATATTTTTTGATATAAAAAATAGCTCCATCGAAAATGCACATGTTCAATTCCCATGAAAATTGCAAAAATGTATCGATTTTGTCAAAATATTTACGTCAATTTCTCACATTTATCAAATGAAACCCAATGACTTGTAGTTTGTTTCATATGATATGCAGTTAATTTATATTCTGCATAATTAACCCCTGTGACACTCGAATCATTTGAATATTCAACGATAAATTTGGCATTTTCGATTCGCACGTGCGACAATCGCTACCAAAAATCAAACCCAGTCAATAAATGAATTGACTTGCGGTCAGAGATGCAATTGCACCCTATTTATGTGCATTATTTATCGTCGACTGTCGAATGCAATTGCCTTGTGATCACACCATTCCACCCTGAAAATTGATTTGTTCATTTCATTGTCCATTTAACGTTTTTAATTGTTACGAACAGAAATACTACCACAAATTAAGTCGATGAACAATAATAAATGGAACAAATAGCGCCATTGTCCATCTGATGGCAACCAAAACAGTGTATGTGTCATGGAAAACCTGAAGCGCGTGAATGAAAACAGTCCCCTTCAGTGATATTGCATGCTCATGCAGTTTATCTCATGCGGACCGGGCCAATTGTTATATCAATTTCGTTTGTCGTTTTTCACACTTCGACACCCGTTGACAATTCATTTGTGCATCAAATTCATTGGTGTGTGCTGTTACACAGTAGATGTACAGAACAAAGCAGATGACCTCACACCAGAACATAGACGAATTGAAAGAGGAAGGTCAATATATTTTCCAACAAAACGAACAAAATATTTTCAAATAAAATTGGTAGGGTGTACAATTGATTAAATCACAATGAATTGCAGTGAACTTAAAGAATAGTGAAAAAATGCAAGAGTAACCATGTCAAATATGTTGGTCCTACTGGGAAAGATATTTTTAAGAGAAAAAAAAATATTGTTTTCAAATATATGGCAAGTTTACAATAAATATTATTCCATCAAATTTATTTAAAACCGATCTACGTTTTTTTAAACAAAATTCTCTTTGACTTAAACACTTAAATGCTAATTTCCTTCTCTAACATAAATATTTACAACACGAAATATGTACATCACACTATTCACGAAAACCAAGTATAAACCTCGATTGTCTATTTTTAATTCGACTCTTCTGACTTATATGGTTGGAATAACTTTGGCTTCTCCGACTTAATTATCGTCGTCACGTCTGTGTTAATATTGTTTTTAATACAATCATTGTTGTTGTTTTGGTGAATGATTTCAGGTGTGGCTTGTGAATCATGAATATTTGTATCAGATATAGGTGATAGTGATAGCGGTGACACTTGTGAATTGGGACTATGCATGAAATCACCGAGAAACGAGTTGCTGACACCATTTGAGTAATCACCGCTCGTGAACACTGGCGCAGTTGTTGCAATTGGTGGTGTGGGTAGAGATGAGTGTAAATGAGATGGTGGCATACTCGATGAATTTAGTGGTGAAAAATATGGAACTTGTCGCATGTATGCATACGGATTCGCGCCAGTTGATGGAATTGGTGCTGGTAGCATCATTGGCATTTGTTGCATCATTGGATTTGGCCCATAAAATGGCATAGTCGCCTGAAGTAATGAAGCAGCAAACACGGGATCATTGTAAATATTGTATGGCCATGTTGCAGTAAATCTTTGCCGTTTATCCTTCATTCGTCGATTTTGAAACCAAACCTAATAAAAGAGAAAGAAAACTTCGTTAGTTTTCGAGAATTTTTTTCTTTTGTAAATAAATTAGAAATGAAATTTAAAAACATAATTTCCATTTAAATTATTGGGAAAATTCCATGTATTCGAACAACAATTATTGTTTTTCATTTCGTTTGATTAATTTATATCAAACTAATTCGGAGACAACTTTCCATGATTGTTAAATTGAACTAGTTTTTTTTACATACAGTTTTTTTTTACAATAACAAACACTCACCTTGATTGTAGATTCCTTGAGTCCCAATTGTACGGCAAGCTCACATCTACGTGGGCGTGACACATAATTTTCTTTGTAGAACTCCTTTTCCAAGCGTGCCAGCTGCTCGCGAGTGAATGCGGTACGATACCGTCGTCCGGCATCATTATTTTCCATACTTCCAATCATTTTAATATTTTTTAATCACGTTTTTTTTTCGCACAAATAACTAAAAAAGAGAAGTAAACACAAAAAATTTAAAGATTTTCTTTATTTCGAAAGGCTCAACGCAGCAATAGAACGAACGTGACTTAACAGAGTAGACACTTTAGAAGAACTGAATTCTTTGCCTTCGCAGCTTAAGCTTATATACCCGAGTCAAAGTCGTTAGTTGTTGTAGCTCAACTTATTGCAGTTGTCATTTGTAGTTGGCGAGCTTGTCATTTGGAACTAAATAGGATTTGGTTTATTACATGTGGTTCTATTGTCTGGTTCATTTGTCGCTTGTTGTTGTTTGAAACAATTTTAACAATTTTATCGAGTACAGTGCCGCTCAGTGAATACTGAAAACTTCAACCCAATGACGGATCCTAGTCAGTCAGTAATATCTTTTTAAAAAATCTACCAAGTTATTTTGACGAAGCAAACAAATGAGTAATTGGGTATTTAGCAAAAATAGAGTGAAAGGATAGAAAGGGATCTGCCTATTTCTTCAACAAATACACTAATTTGCATATAAAAATCATAACGGAGATCCTAATTTTCTAAGAACTTTTTTTTGATCGATGGATTATGCTAATTTTTTATGAGGATCGTGTACTTTTTGAACTTTTCAAAAATGGAATAATTTTAAATACCATTTACAGGAATTTTCCCCAATATCTCTGCCTTTTGGATACTTTTATTATTATCATTAATAAACCCGTGTTCTCTCGATCTGTTACAACTAATTTCGCACACATACACATACATAGCTACACTCTCACATCTCTTTCATTCTTTATACATATACGCAAAGGTGCAGACTTCTGCGTCCGTGCCATTTCAAAGGCACATAGAGAAAACACGGGAAGGAACAATATTATTTTATGGATAAAGTCTCGGGCTTTTAATTTCCCAGTTTTCAAGTTCAAGACGAAGGGTTTACGTGAATGTAATAATACATGATTTTATGATTTTTTTTCATATATTCTGTAAAAGTTGCTTGAATTATTTATCTCATTATATTCAATAATTTTTGCAAACAAATTGTCTTCTCTACATTTTTCTATTTTGTAAATGATTTTTTTAACGTTATTGCAACCTGTAAATGCTGTAAAATGTTCTAATATCTAGACATCAATGCAAAAATGACAGTTTTTCGATATTGCAATATCAGCGATTCGATTCAAATCCGATAATTGTACATAAAAAGTAAAAAAAATAACTAACTAGGGCTTTAAATTTGTTTTTTGAAAAACGACAAAACTTCTTTATCCGCAAAGTCCATCAAATATCAAAGATTTTAAAATAAAACACAATTTGTTTTAAGTATATTGCACCTTATTGACGTTGCCAATTTAATTTCAAAAAATTCTATACAAATAAATAACATTAATGAGGATGACACATTGTCGAAATGCATCCGAAACATTTTTTCAATTAATGTTATTTATTTGAAAAGAAATTTTTTGAAATTAAATTGGCAAAGTCAATAAGGTGCAATATACTTATCTTTGATATTTGATGGACTTTGCGGATAAAGAAGTTTTGTTGGTACTAAAAACAAATTGTGTTTTATTTCAAAATATTTGATATAACTAACTGGGGTCATTAACGGATATCGCTTCTCAAGTCACACCAATTACTAATTAGTCGAAAAACACTAAAAACAGCTTAATACAATAGTACATAGGTCAAACCCTCTTTTTCTTCATTACCGGTTACCGGTACGCCTAACGGAATATCATTAGAATACCGTTCCATCACAAGAATATCATTATATCGTCTGTTTCAGTTTCTACTTTCTAATACACATAGCATCTTGCAGCATCATCTTTTTCTCGCTCGCCACTTCACATTGTGTACATTTTCTCAATGTTTTGAACTCTGTGAATTGCGAATGGGCTGACGATGAGTTATTGTAAAAAGAGTATTGATCTTGCATAAAAAGGCTCTGCGCTGACAATTTTCATATTGAATCGAAACAATCATTGTTTCTACTGTAGCCACACAATGGAATGGACAAAAATGGAAACGGTTGTATAAAATCTGTGCGGGTTTTACAACAGAAAAGCAACGAAAGAGTTATTTAAATGGGCTCGTTAGTACAAAAATACATACCTATATTGTACACAGAAGTAAATGGATTGGTTACACTTTGCACAAATAATCCTATTAAGTAATAACTTTTACCTGTCAGTAACCGAGTTAAGTAAACAAACAACAATTTCATTGGAAAGGAGTCCAAAAATAACCATTTAAATAGAAAGATTTTCAAATAAATCATTGGATTGAACAAATGACTTTGTCAACAGAGTGTTTGGGATATTAGATTTTTTGCACTGACAATGGAAATTGAATATATTCAAACAATTAGATTAATTAGATCAAAAACATTCGAACTCATTTGATTTTAATCAATATATTATTCGGATGAAAATCAAATGAAATAATCACTGTGTATAATTAAGCCTCCAATCTCTCAAAAAACAATAGTACGAAGTTCACATTGTGCTATATATATGTTTAGTTCTTCCATGGTTTCAATTTTTGAACCGTTCACGTGAAGCAAAGTTTGGAATTGGAAAAAGTTTGTGATTGTATGTCATTTTCTTGTAATAAATTCAGAGTTTGGCCATTTATCTTACGATTTTTTCGTCTCTATTTATTGAAAAAGTCGAGAATGCTATCTCTACCTAATCTCTGTTTTGGCCAAAAATAATTCACAGCCATGTTGTTTATCATCGTAAATCCGTTTTCAGATCAATTGGACGATTTGTTGTGATGAAAAATTATGGACTTTTTCGGTATTCGCTATGAATTGCCATTCTCGCAAAACAGAGCTTGAAGCGATTGAAAATTTATTTATATTTATTTTCGATGTTCATGCGTGAAAGATAGTTTTGTACAAAATATATTTGAACCTGCCACATATCCTCTATTCGCTTGAACAAAAACCAAAAGCTGTGTTTCTTGCATTAGCTCGGGTGGTGAGCAGGTCCAAGAGCAGTAGGTGAACGGGTTAAGAATGAGTTAAAAGCAAATTCAAAATCAAACAACTTTCAAAAACGGGTGATAATTACAAAGAGCCATAAGTCATGCTGTCGTGTATTCATACATCTCCTTGTGAACTAAAAAAAGTCAATTGAACAAAAGCATGCTATGAATGTTCGATTTTCAATTTCAATCCTATTTTCATTTTCAATTGAAATAATTATTTTTTCACTGAAGCCACACAAAAGAATCGACAAAATGGCAAACAGTAGCATAAAATCAGTGCTTGTTTCACAGAAGAACGAAAGAGTTATTCAAATGGGCAGTGTTTTATTGCACTGCACCATATAACATTGCTCAGTGAAAACTGTAAAGGGAAAGGATTTAGCTTTTGAGAAAAAATGCATGCATTCAGTGCTCAAAGCAGTAACTGGATTGCTACTCTTTGCACAGATAATCCTATCAAGTAATAATTCTTACCTCTATTCATAACTAAGTAAACAAACTAACATGTATTCGGTAGCAATTTCATAGGAAATGAATTAAAAATCTGCATCTAAATAGAAAGATTTCGAAATAAATAATTGGATTGAACAAATGACTTAGTCAACAGGGTATGGTTTGCACAGGTACCACTTTACTCGGAATCGAACAGATCCAAACTAATTCAGATCAGTTTTAATCAAATGAAACTGCACAATATTAGTTGAAATTTTTGTGTGTGTAAAAATGCAGACAAAAAACCAAATAAAATTCTACGTTAATATTATTTTACGTGGTAATGCTTAAAATTTAACGAAATTTATCTTATGTATACAATAAATAAAAGAAAATCAATCTAAAACAAATTACAATTGTGTAAAAAATCGAATCATAAGAAATGAACACCATAAACTGATCGAAAACATAATAATAATAATAATAGTATTATGTGTTGGAATAAATAGTGTGCAAATTTGTTTCTGAACAAAACAACACAGTGCAAATTTAATGAAAATGCGGTCTCGTAAGCATATAAATAGCCAAAGCTCTTACTCATACAACATCTGCAATGGTTGTTTTCATTTCATAGCCAATGCATACCATCAAATGAAGCGTATTGTGTTTGATATCATCAGATTTGTTCCACTTAATTGTGTTTATCACGCAAAAGTGAGTCAGAACTTCATAGAATGCTTGAAAAAATGGAGAAAACAATGAGTTTTACAAATTAACAAAAGATTTAATCTGCAAAAATGGCATGCTCGACCTCATAAAACTCTCGATATCATTTATTGAGGGATGCGAATTTCAGCCAAACAAAAAATCCAACATATAATATTATCAAATGTTTATTCGGTCAGTAAAGAGTATGTATGACGTTATTCGCATCAATAAATCAAGCGTATCTTGCTCACATTTCCACATTCATTTAGATTACGTCTTCTGCGACATGATGGCACATAACGTTTTATACCATTATTCATCAAGTTCATTTCATTTGATTGTTACAGCCAATCATGTTGTCACGGCAACGAAACATATTCAGCCAATATCTTTATCCAATCAAAAGCATCTACGAAAAGATGGCTGTCTGAAATTGTTAAACTTATTCCTATTTACTTCAATTTTTATCCATTTTTATATGCTTTTTTTCGCAATATTAATATACTGGCTCATTAGTAATACATATACAGATATTTGCCAAAATATAATAAAAATGTGTTATTTTGCAATGTTCTAAATATATATATTTTTTCATCTGTACACAAAATAGGATATGCAGGCACAAAACACCCAAAGCAATTGGTGTGTGCAAACTAGACCTATTAAATACGCTAATTTATTTTAAGCTGGTGAAAACAAAAGCGATGCACAACTAGCTCAATGCACAATGTTTGGTGCGAGTATGAAAGAGACATCTAAAAGTTGAACAAACAAAATTGTTGAACCTCTAATAAACGAATAAAACATCGTTTAGTACTTTACTTAGTGCGACTCTTCGGAAATTCTCGAAAATTTTGTACAAAAATGCCATTTTCTATGTAATTCTCTCCGTGTCTTTTACATTTTTTGGCAATTTTCTTATCGAAACGAATGAACTTTGTAACAAACATGAATTTTAAG